TACATGAACTGTATACAGTACCGGTAAGTTGAAAAATTTAGACACTTGTGCAACATCTGGTTATCTTTATTGTAGACGTTTCACCATCCAGTGGCTTTATAAATACAAATTCTAGGACATAATTAGAAGACAGTAGAACTTTATACAAAAGATGAGGTAATCAGTCCCTCAACCTTGGAGTTAGTGTTGAGGGCACCGTAGTTGTGAAGATTCTGGAGGCTTTCCATCTTCTCAACTACGGTGCTCTTAACACCAACTCCAAGGCTGAGGGACTGTTTACCTCATCTTTTGTATATAGTTCTACTGTCTTCTAATTATGTCCTAGAATTTGTATTGATAAAGCCACTGGTTGGTGAACCGTCTACAACAAAGGTACCCAGATGTTGCACACGTGTCTAAACTTTCAAATAATTTTAATAAAGACAACTGCTTCTGTAACAGGCTCTGGTGGCCTGGTGGTTAACGCTCTCGCTTCACACGGTGAGGGCCTGGGTTCGATTCCCAGCCAGAGTAGAAACATTGGACGTGTTTCTTTCCACCTGTTGTCTATGTTCCCCATCAGTAAAATGGGTACCTGGGTGTTAGTCGACTGGTGTGGGTCGCATCCTGGGACACTGACCTAAGGAGGCCTGGTCACAGACCGGGCCGCGGGGGCGTTGACCCCCGGAACTCTCTCCAGATAAACTCCAGATACTTCTCAGCTACATATTTGTTCAGTCTGCTTTTAAAGCTACGTCAGACCTAACCTTGTCTAAAATACCGACAAGATTGAAAAGTAGACACAAATGTTGCATACATGAAACACTTGAGCAACATTTGAGTATCTGTATTCTAGAAACGTTTCGCCACCCAGCGCTGTATAGCCCTTGTGGCTTAGCGCTTCTTTTTGATTATAATAATAATAATAATTAATTCGCCACCCAGCGGTTTTTTCAGTCCAATACAGAAAAAATGGTGGAAGATAAAGAGGTGTTTGATGTAATCAGTCCCACAGCCTGGAGTCTGAGTTCAGTCTATCAACCTTGATGAATCTTAATACGAGTCAGAATTTATGGACTGGACTAGAGATGTATCGGATGTAAAAATTTAGATATCCGCGGATGTGGATGTGTATGAGGATGTCTTACTTATTTTGCAGATGTGGATGTGGATACAGGTGTAAGAAATTGTGCGGATGTTCTGCGGATTCAGATGCAGATACATATGCGGATATCTGTTTACAGTAAAATGCGGATGCTGATACCAATGCGGATGTAAGAAATTGTGCAGATGTTCCGCAGATGCAGATGCGGATATCTGATACATAACTAGGCTGGCCACATCGACTCCAGGCTGGGGGACTGATTACCTCAAACTCCTCATCTTCCACCGTTTATCTGTGGACTGATAAAGCCACTGACTGGCGAAACATTTCCACAAACAGGCATTTTTAATGATGTATCGTTTAATTGATGCTATTATGAAATGCTACATTTTGGGATAGAAGAACTGAAATATCTCTTTTTCAAATCACAGAACGGGTGGGGATCGAACCCATGGTAGGGAAGTGGCAAAACTCATAGGTCAGTGTGTTACCCACAAGACCAGCTGACCTGTATGTTTCACGACTCGCTTACCATTGGTAAAGCCCCATCCGTTCTGTTTACAATCAGCTTTTACAATATCAAAATATAATTGAATTGCCGGTATGTCAAGTTTTATTTTAATTTAAACCGTCATATAGACTTTATTATACACGTCCTCTGCTTTCCCACTGATTCATTGAACTTTCAGTTCAGCTTTCAGTCCCACTTCAGATCACTAGCATCTCACCACAACATCACATTTGAGCCTAGAGTTTCGATTGAATCTCTTGATCTTCCTGACAGACTGATCTTTAGCCTGGTATAGGCATCTCCGTTCACATAGTTATCCTGCTCATAATACTGTAAACTCAGCCAGATGTTGCAAAGGTGTCCAGTTCATTACCCCTTCTTCACTCCATTATTTTTCCTAACCTTACTCGAGCATTAGTGTATTAAACCACGGGGATGGAACTCATGGGGATTGAACTCGCGATGAGTGAGTCATTTGCAATCGTGTCGTTACGATTTCGTGAGTCATTAGTGTATTCTTTCTCACCACGAAGTATGCGCAGGGCTCTTGATTCCATATTTGATTGTTACATCTGCAAGGTTCCTGATCAACTTCTCTCCTGAGGTTTACGTCTCCATGGTTCCTGACTGTTGCGGCCCCCTACCAAACTAGCGGTTAAATGGTTAACCTGCCGGCCGGCAGTTCCACTAGGTACGTCATCAAACCCAATGTGGGGACTGCTGAGCCGGCCTTAGAGCAGTATGTACCTGAACACCTCACAGTATGCATCTAAGCAGTAGGTACCTGAACACCTAATGGTACACATCTACTGGCTTTAGAAGCAGTAAGTACCTGAACACCTCACGGTATGCATCTACGCAGTAGTTACCAGAACACCTAATCGTACACATCTACTGGCAGTAGAGTATTCTACTGGCTTCTACTGGCGTTAGAGGAAGCGCTCACCGCAGTTCACTGAGTCTGTTGGCCTCAGTTACTTGATGGCCGCATTCAGTGAGCTTGCAGCATGGTGTTCGGCAAGCAGGATTAACCGAACCTACTTGCGGTGTGTCAATTGGTCTTGAAGGCGGTAGATAGTACTCACCAGACCATCTTACGGTGTACTTCTACTGGCCTTGGAGAGTATTTACAGGACTACCGGTGATGTCCGCAGACTCACCGCCTACGCTGATCAACTGTGGGCCGGAGTCTTCTGATGCTGTTTTAGTGGGACTTTACATGAAGAAAAGGTTGGAGTGTTACACTGAACTGGGCTAGGACCGTAGTGTGACACTTAGGTAAGTATGATGGAGTGGAACACTGAGATATGCTACAGGACCGTAGTGGAACACTGAGAAGAAAAGGGTGTCGTGTGACACTGAAGATGGTCAGGTTGTAGTGTACATTGAATAATATCATGTGACTGGCCTCGAGAAAGACGCTGTGGGTGATAGTGTGCAACGCAGAGACAAGGTTGTCAAAGAGTGACACAGAGATATTGTGTATGACACAGAGAAAAGGGTGTCGTGTGACACGGAGAGTAGGAGTGTCGTGTGACACAGAGAAAAGGGTGTCTAGTGGACACGGTTGAGCAGGAGCGTCATTACACGGAAGGGTGTCAAGTGACACAGTTGAGAGGGAGCGTCACAACACACCAGGGATAAGTGTCGTGAGAGACACGGAGCATCATAGGGAGTTGATTGTAATTTATTATTGTAAATGTTACGTATAATTTATTATTTTAGCATATATATATATATATATATATATATATTATTTTAAGATGCTAATAATTTATTATTGTAACATGTACATATACTTTAAATACCTCCTAGACCAAAGATTGTTTTATATAATATTAAAGATTCATTTAATTTAAAGTGTATTTATGTATCCTGAACTCTTTATTACAAAATGAGTAAAACTACCATCTTAAAAATTACTTTTTTTGTAATATATGGGGGCCTGTCCAGGAGGATAATGATTATCAAGAATGATTTCTGGGATGATCATATCCGGGATGACGGTTCGAGAAACATATCACATTAATCTTTGTGTGTCGGTCCTTTTGTGGTGGGGGTGTTGCGGCCCCCTACCAAACTAGTGGTTAAATGGTTAACCTGCTGGCTGGCAGTACCACTGGGTACGTCATCAAGCCCAATGTGGGGACTGCTGAGCCGGCCATAGAGCAGTATATACCTGAACACCTCACAGTACGCATCTAAGCAGTAAGTACCTGAACACCTCACGGTACGCATCTATGCAGTAGTTACCAGAGCACCTAATCGTACACATCTACTGGCAGTAGAGTATTCTACTGGCTTCTACTGGCATTAGAGGAAGCGCTCACCGCAGCTCACTGAGTCTGTTGGCCTCAGTTACATGACGGCCGCATTCAGTGAGCTTGCAGCATTGTGTTCGGCAAGCAGGATTAACCGAACCTACTTGCAGTGTGTCAATTGGTCTTGAAGGCAGTAGATAGTACTCATCAGACCATCTTACAGTGTACTTCTACCGGCCTTGGAGAGTATTTACAGGACTACAGGTGATGTCCGCGGACTCACCGCCTGCGCTGATCAACTGTGGGCCGGAGTCTTCTGATGCTGTTTTAGTGGGACTTTACATGAAGAAAAGGTTGGAGTGTTACACTGAACTGGGCTAGGACCGTAGTGTGACACTTAGGGAAGTATGATGGAGTGGAACACTGAGATATGCTACAGGACGTTGTGGGACACTGAGAAGAAAAGGGTGTCGTGTGACACTGAAGATGGTCAGGTTGTAGTGTACATTGAATAGTATCATGTGACTGGCCTCGAGAAAGACGCTGTGGGTGATAGTGTGCGATGCAGAGACAAGGTTGTCAAGAGTGGCACAGTAGAGATATTGTGTATGACGCAGAGAAAAGGGTGTCGTGTGACACAGAGAGTAGGAGTGTCGTGTGACACAGAAAAGGGTGTCTAGTGGACACGGTTGAGCAGGAGCGTCATTGCACGGAAGAAAGGGTGTCAAGTGACACAGTTGAGAGGGAGCGTCACAACACACCACGAATAAGTGTCGTGAGAGACACGGAGCATCATAGGGAGTTGATTGTAATTTATTATTGTAAATGTTACATATAATTTATTTTAGCATAGATATATATATTATTATTTTAAGATGCTAATAATTTATTATTGTAACATGTATATATATTTTAAATACCTCCTAGACCAAAGATTGTTTTATATAATATTAAAGATTCATTTTTTAAAGTGTATTTATGTATCCCGAACTCTTTATTACAAAATGAGTAAAACTACCATCTTAAAAATTAATTTTTTTGTTATACTGACCAACTTCTTTATTGATCCCCACCAGTTTCTCACCTGAGTATTACATTTACATGGTTCCTGATCATTTTAGAATTTAAATATTACATTTTTCAGGGTTCCTCATCAATTTCATCTCTCTGCCTGTCATCAGTGGGTTCACCTCAGCTGCAGCTATCATCATAGCTTCGTCCCAGCTTAAGCTACTGTTTGGTCTTCGTCTTAAAACCAAAGGGCTGATCAACACTTGGGTGAAAGTTTTCTCAAATATCCAAGATTTACGATGGCAGGACCTCACACTCGGCCTCATCTGTATTGTCGTCCTCTTCCTCCTGAAGGTAAGATGGCAGGACCTCACACTCGGCCTCATTTGCATTGTCGTCCTCTTCCTCCTGAAGGTAAGATGGCAGGACCTCACACTCGGCCTCATTTGCATTGTCGTCCTCTTCCTCCTGAAGGTAAGATGGCAGGACCTCACACTCGGCCTCATTTGCATTGTCGTCCTCTTCCTCCTGAAGGTAAGATGGCAGGACCTCACACTCGGCCTCATCTGTACTGTCGTCCTCTTCCTCCTGAAGGTATGAGGATCGTTGGGCTATATATACTTTTTTGAAAATGTGAAATGACTTTTTTTATTTAGTTCTATACATCTAAATATCCAAAAGGTCTTTTTCAAGAAATCTTTCTCCTTCAATCTATGTAGGATATGTTCCAGTCCTCGTTCGACTCAAATGAAAATCTTGTATGTTAGTCACAGTGTGACTTTGTAAATGATCCAAGTCGGACCGAAACGTCGTCGTAAGCTCCTCTCTCCTATGTGCGGGTTATTTGTGTATTGTTCCAGTCACGATATTGTGCCTTTTGTAATTTATTTGTGCGTTAGATCTTTTTTTCCCTTTGCTGAATACTTTTTATCTTTGGTATTCTTACGAAACTTCGAATTTCCTCTTTCACGCCAAAAGTGGTCGGTTATCTCACAAGTTAAATTGTTCCATGAATCTCACAACTACCATCCGAAGGAACATCCTGAAGTCTTACAATTTACATTGTTTTTTTTCCTGAAAACAATCTATTTTAGACTTTGTCCTTGTGGCTTAGCGCTTCTTTTTGATAATAATAATAATAATAATAATAATAATTTAGAATTTCTAAATTCACAAATAACCTTGTAATCACCAAAGCTCTGGAAACTCTCATTGTACATTCTCTTATGCAGAAAGCACACTAGTTATTCCTATTTGCTAGTGGAGTTACTTAAATTACCCAGAACATCCAGCTGTTGTTCGACTCGGCTCTGTTATCACTTTCAACTTCATTTCATGATAAAATGTGGATAGGATCAATTTCCTCCAGAGATCCCCTCAAGGAAGGTTCCTTGATGTTGGTGAGGGGCTCTTGATTTAGGGAATTGGATCCGTGCTCCAGTTCCCCGAATTAAGCCTGAATGCCTTCCACATCCCCCCCCCCCCTCCCAGGCGCTGTATAATCCTCCGGGTTTAGCGCTTCCCCCTTGATTATAATAATAATAAATCCTCCAGAGATCACAATGTTTGCATATATATATTTTTCTTTAAAATTTACTTTAGCTTAATTTTTTTTTCTAAGTAATAGTATGTAAATTATTAACTAGAAGTTGTTGAATTAGATACATATGCAGGATCCAAGTATCGTTATTTCGATGCCGTTCTCCTATTAAATGTAGAATTATATACAGAAAACGGAAGTCTGTGTTCAGTTTAGATTCACCAATACTAAGACACTGAACACTTGTAGGTTAAGTGGTTGATTAATTCATTGTCTTTTATATATAGTTTCTGAACTGAAGTGAAAAATTCAATACAAAGGCAATGATAATGGCAAGCGTAGCCTGTAATATGACATTTTGCTTTGAAGGGGTGTTGGAAATAAATGGATGTCCAGGATATTTGGTATTAATTGTTGGCTGGACAATTATTGTAGAGATATTACAGTACCAGTCATCGACAACTCCATGTCATATATGAGAATGAGGAACAGGATGGGAGAGAGTAATGTACCTTGTGGAACAGAGATTTTCACTGTAGTCGCCTCTGACGTCACTCTGTTTACTAATATTCTTTGTGTTATATTTGTTAGGAAATTATAGATCCATCTACCAACTTTTCTAGTTATTCCTTTATCATTCATTTTGTGTGTTATTGCACCATGATGGCACTTGTCGATGACTTTTGCAGAGTCTGTGTATACTATATTTGTGAATATTACATGCAAGACCATGTCATAGTGGCTCAGTAGTTGGGAGAGATAGGAGCGACCTGCTCTAAATCCATGCTACCCTGGGTAGCATGGATGGGTATCTAAGTGGGTGGTGACCTAGCTTCTTAGAACCCTTTCAAAGATTTTTATGATGCTGGATCTTAGTGCTTTGTTTGCAATTACTTTAGTGTCACTTTTGTAGCGTGGGGCTGTCTGTTGTTTTCAGTGATTTTGGGAAAACACTTGCGTCCATGCTCCCTCTTCACGTGAAATGGGCTTCTTGCAGTTCTTTGATGAACACGAAGTTCCATGAGTCTGGGCCTGGGGCAAAGTGCATTGGCATGTCACATACTGCTTTTACAAAGTCTTATGGTGTTAGGATAATATCGGAAATTTTTTAATTTACCAAAATGAGCCTCGGTCATTAACGGCTCACTGAATACTGAGTCGATTGGGATTTCAGCATCTCACTCATTTCTTTGCTGTCATCTGTGTAAGTCCCATCTCGTTTAACCAAGGGTTCAATGCTGATGTGGTTTTTGCCATAGATTTGGCATAAGGAAAGAAGTATTTTGGGTTTCTTTCAGTTTCATTTAAGGCTGTAAAGTTCTTTCTGTTTCCTGTCTCCTCTCCTCTCTCTTGATGCCATGAATTATACGAATAAATTGTGGAATGTTAAACTTGAATACGTGAAAGGTACAAAAATACCAGGAATAAGATTAGTGTCTTACATCTGGTTGCATGTACAGGGAAACACTGATACTCTTGCAATATTCTGGAGAATCAGGACATGATTACCGGCGGCCACATTCAAGAGTTTGTTGTTTAGTGTTGATATAACTAATGGGGAGGTGTCTAGGGTAGCTTTATATGTACGAGAAAATAGGAATTGTTACATATAAACAGGATATAAAAATCGATGGATTAGACACAATTTGTTTGGGTAAAATTTTAAGTACAACAAAAATATATTTTAAATGTAAATACACCAACTCCCAAACTTAGAAAGCAACAGAAGAGACTTTTTTGGAACGTAATTATTAGGGCTTCTTGACATAAGATAGTCAAAGTTGGGTATTTTAACTTTTGTCAAATGACTACTTGGTAGTAGTTCAGGACTACTTTTGAAGCAGTTAAAGAGTCTACCAGACGTAATAATCTGCTCGACCTGGTTTTGTCAAATAAGGAAACCGTCTTAAATAATCTAGAAACACCGAAGAACTCGACCCATGTGATGGCAAATCTGTTATATTTAATATTACCTGGGGTACGATAATAAGCATAATACAGTAAAAGTCTCCGAATTTCGATCTGCTGATTATAATGGACTTAGGGAACACCTGTCTAATCTTGGCTGGAGTAATTTAGCAAATGATTCAGTTGACGAATTTCACACTTACAATAACTACAATACACAATGTCGCCAGAGTACATGTACTCAGAGTGAAATTAGGTCTATTACTAGAGAGAAATTTATAAGAAAATCTTATTGACCAAAATGCTTATATTAAAAGAAAGGAAAAGAAAAAAAAAAAGAATTAGAAAAGCAAAATACGACAACGAAATTAAAGCTGGTGAATCAGACAAATCCAGAAGTGTTCTTTCAAGTGCATAGGAAAAAGTTCAGGGAAAAATTAGGACAATGAGCAGGAAATTTGACTTATAAATGATATCTCAGCAATTAGTAATTACTTTTTGTAGATGAATGGTTCAGAGACACGACATTTATAAATTAGTACACATGTTACAACTCTTGGGTATCTTTATTGATGAAACGTTTCGCCACACAGTGGCTTCATCAGTCCATACATAGGAGAAACTTGAAGAACAGGAGGAGAATGAGGTAATCAGTCCCTCAACTTGAGTCAAAGTGTTCAGTCCTACATATCTTGAATATCAAGATTGATGGACTGAACACATCGACTCAAGGTTGAGGGACTGATTACCTCATTCTCCTCCTGTTCTTCAATTAGTAATTACTCATGCCCTGAAGAAAAATTATGTAATATTACAGTCACTAGGGACATGATTATCAAACAAATCGACCAACTAAAACAAAAGTCCCCGGGGCCTCGACAAACTGTTCTCAGTTGTGCTCATGGATTGTAAGTGGGAACATTGCTGCTAATAAGCCTGTTTAACGAGCTTGTTTAACGAACCTGTTTATTAACGAGCCTATTAACGAGCCTGTTTAACAAGCTTGTTTAACGAGCCTGTTTAACGAGTTTGTTTAACGAGCCTGTTTAGCGCATCAGTTTAAACTTATGTTGTGCCAGAGATATAGAAGATATCTAATGTAGATAAATGGCTCAGAGAACCGACGAGTTGTTTAATTAGACTCGTGTACAACCCTTGGGGTATCTTTACTGAGGAAACGTTTCGCCACAGTGTCTTCATCAGTCCATAGAAAGGAGAATGGTGAAGAACAGGAAGAGTATGAGGCAATCAGTCCCTCAGCTTTGAGTCGATGTAATCAGTCTTGAAAAGAATATCTGCGAAGAAGTGGCTTATATACTGTAGACAGGTGAGGTGAAGGAGTTTTAGGTGGTATCACACTTGACAATTAAAAACGACCTACTGCTTCACCTCGCCTGTCTACAGAATATTAGTCACCTTGCAGATATTCTATATTCTTTTCAAGATTGATTACATCGACTCAAGGGTGAGGGACTGATTACCTCAAACTCCTCCTGTTCTTCACCATTCTCCTTTGTCTGGACTGATGAAGCCACCGTGTGGCGAAACGTTTCCTCAGTAAAGATACCTAAGTGTTGCACATGTGTCTAATTTATCAAGATGTCTAATGTAATAACTATATCAAGGGATAAGTCAGTTCCATCATATTACCCCCAATAAGAATTCAAAAAAGGGAAATCGTTAGAATCAATTTTACCCAATATAAAACGAAGCTGACTCAACGAGAATAATTTGAATAACTAGTCTCAACATTGGCTCACGAAAAGTCGTTCCTGCTCGACAAATTTACTTTCTTCAATAAATGAGGTAGTGAACAACGATATACCTGGAGTATACCTGGAGGGTGTTTCGGACGTTGACACCCCCGTGGTCCGGTCCATGACCAGGCCTCGCTGGAAATAAATGG